TTTAAATGCACGCTATTGTGACACCAGTGAGTGAGTGGTGGCACTGGGCACAGTATCCACTGTGAGCCTGACACACCCGCTTTAAATCAACTAACTGCTATTCAATCTATAACAGTGAAAAAAGTTTTTTGGTTTTTAAATGCACGCTATTGTGACACCAGTGAGTGAGTGGTGGCACTGGGCACAGTATCCACTGTGAGCCTGATACACCCGCTTTGAGACAACTAACTGCTATTCAATCTATAACAGTGAAAAAAGTTTTTTGTTTTTAAATGCAAGCTTTTATGATACCAGATATGAGTGGCACTGTGAACTGGCACAGTATCCACTGTGAGCCTGACACAGACCCTGGCAGACAAATAACTGCTATTCAATCTATAACAGTGAAAAAAGTTTTTTGTTTTTAAATGCAAGCTATTGTGACACCAGTGAGTGAGTGGTGGCACTGGGCACAGTATCCACTGTGAGCCTGACACTCCCGTTTTAAGGACACTGACTGCTATTCAATCTATAACAGTGAAAATGTTTTTTGGTTTTAAATGCAAGCTATTGTGACACCAGTGAGTGAGTGGTGGCACTGGGCAAAGTATCCACTGTGAGCCTGACACAGACGCTGGCAGACAACTAACTGCTATTCAATCTATAACAGTGAAAAAAGTTTTTTGGTTTTAAATGCAAGCTATTGTGACACCAGTGAGTGAGTGGTGGCACTGGGCACAGTATCCACTGTGAGCCTGACACACCCGCTTTGAGACAACTAACTGCTATTCAATCTATAACAGTGAAAAAAGTTTTTGGTTTTAAATGCAAGCTATTGTGACACCAGTGAGTGAGTGGTGGCACTGGGCACAGTATCCACTGTGAGCCTGACACACCCGCTTTGAGACAACTAACTGCTATTCAATCTATAACAGTGAAAAAAGTTTTTTGGTTTTAAATGCGCGCTATTGTGACACCAGTGAGTGAGTGGTGACACTGGGCACAGTATCCACTGTGAGCCTGACACACCACGCTTTGAGACAACTAACTGCTATTCAATCTATAACAGTGAAAAAAGTTTTTGGGTTTTACCGCTATTGTGACACCAGTGAGTGAGTGGTGGCACTGGGCAACAGTATCCACTGTGAGCCTGACACACCCGCTTTGAGACAACCAACTGCTATTCAATCTATAACAGTGAAAAAAGATTTTTGTTTTTAAATGCAAGCTATTGTGACACCAGTGAGTGAGTGGTGGCACTGGGCACAGTATCCACTGTGAGCCTGACACACCCGCTTTAAATCAACTAACTGCTATTCAATCTATAACAGTGAAAAAAGTTTTTTGGTTTTTAAATGCACGCTATTGTGACACCAGTGAGTGAGTGGTGGCACTGGGCACAGTATCCACTGTGAGCCTGATACACCCCCTTTGAGACATGTAACTGCTATTCAATCTATAACAGTGAAAAAAGTTTTTTTGTTTTTAAATGCAAGCTATTATGACACCAGATATGAGTGGCACTGTGAACTGGCACAGTATCCACTGTGAGCCTGACACAACCGCTTTGAGACAACTAACTGCTATTAAATCTATAACAGTGAAAAAAGTTTTTTGGTTCTAAATGCACACTATTGTGACACCAGATATGAGTGGCACTGTGAACTGGCACAATATCCACTGTGAGCCTGACACATCCGCTTTGAGACAACTAATTCCTATTCAATCTATAACAGTGAAAAAAGTTTTTTGGTTTTAAATGCAAGCTATTGTGACACCAGTGAGTGAGTGGTGGCACTGGGCACAGTATCCACTGTGAGCCTGACACACCCGCTTTGAGACAACTAACTGCTATTCAATCTATAACAGTGAAAAAGTTTTTTGGTTTTAAATGCACGCTATTGTGACACCAGTGAGTGAGTGGTGGCACTGGGCACAGTATCCACTGTGAGCATGACACAGACGCTTTGAGACAACTAACTGCTATTCAATCTATAACAGTGAAAAAGCTTTTTTTGTTTTTAAATGCAAGCTATTATGACACCAGATATGAGTGGCACTGTGAACTGGCACAGTATCCACTGTGAGCCTGACACACCCGCTTTGAGACAACTAACTGCTATTCAATCTATAACAGTGAAAAAAGTTTTTTGGTTTTAAATGCAAGCTATTGTGACACCAGTGAGTGAGTGGTGACACTGGGCACAGTATCCACTGTGAGCCTGACACACCCGCTTTGAGACAACTAACTGCTATTCAATCTATAACAGTGAAAAAAGTTTTTTGTTTTTAAATGCAAGCTATTGTGACACCAGTGAGTGAGTGGTGGCACTGGGCACAGTATCCACTGTGAGCCTGACACACCCGCTTTGAGACAACTAACTGCTATTCAATCTATAACAGTGAAAAAAGGTTTTTGGTTTTAAATGCACGCTATTGTGACACCAGTGAGTGAGTGGTGGCACTGGGCACAGTATCCACTGTGAGCCTGACACACCCCCTTTGAGACAAGTAACTGCTATTCAATCTATAACAGTGAAAAAAATGTTTTGTTTTTAAATGCAAGCTATTATGACACCAGATATGAGTGGCACTGTGAACTGGCACAGTATCCACTGTGAGCCTGACACACCCGCTTTGAGACAAATAGAAAGGCGTAGCCTGGAATTGTGGGAGGGGTTACCCGGCTATAAAAGCTCAGGCCCCGCCAAATCAGCACTGGAATCGCTGGGTTCATTCAGAACCTTTGAACTTCCGGTTCAAACTCACCGGGACATCGCTCCCACGTGGTCCGCTCCAGTCTAAGTGCTCCATGCTAACCCTGTTCGGTACAATCCCGGCGGTCTCCGTGCCCGGTATCAAGCGCTCCAGCCGGCTTACTACCGGGATTCCCGGCGAACTCCCATCCTCCTCAGCCATACCCACGGCGGTTTCAGTACCCGGAAACATACTTACCTACTCCAGGGTCCCAGAACCGTGAGTTTCATCCACACCACTCTCATCCAGACGCCTGGCGTCCATTCATACTTTACACACCTGTTCACAAATGACTTTCATTCATACTTACCTTACCGCTCCGGGCTTCGTTCGGTACCGCACTCCACACAGGCACATTCTCCACCCTGGCACTTACGCTCCAAACTGGCCACCCGGCTAAACTTACAATTTATTTCTATACTGACAATACGCATGGCTGCTCACGACACCCCCTGGTGGGGAAAAAAAATATACATCAGCACTTGGAAATGTTATGTGTTTCTGTTTTCTGATACACATCGGCTGCTCAGAACGACCCCTGACGGCAAAACATATTGTTACACAATGTTAAAGGACCACTCTAGGCACCCAGACCACTTCAGCTTAATGAAGTGGTCTGGGTGCCTGGTCCAGCTAGGGTTAACCCATTTTTTAATAAACATAGCAGTTTCAGAGAAAGTGCTATGTTTATTAATGGGTTAAGCCTTCCCCCTATTCCCTCTAGTGGCTGTCTCATTGACAGCCACTAGAGGCGCTTGGGTGCTTCTCACTGGTGCCCAGCACTGGAAAAAGGTAAGTTTTAACCCCTTTCCCCCTTTGACAGCCGGGCGGGAGGGGGACCCTGAGGGTGGGGGCACCCTCAGGGCACTATAGTGCCAGGAAAACGAGTATGTTTTCCTGGCACTATAGTGGTCCTTTAATGCATTTAAAATAGTGTCTGATCCTATTTCCCTCGCTTTTTCCTTTCTCCCTTTGCGCCTGTCATAAAAAAAAAAAATAATAATTAAAACGACAATACGCTTACTATACCATAAAATCTGTCACTCATGTTTTATTTTTCCCACATTACCTATGCCTATATACGTTACCTGTCACCTATACAGGTATTTTCTAAAACTTTACCCCGACTAACGGCAACACCTGAACCGCCTCAGACATATACCTGTCAAAGACACACTCCGTCTTTGTTCATACGGTAAGGAATAATTTACCCCATACAAGAGGTTGTCCTGTCCATTGTCATGTTCTTCATATGAGATTAATTACTTAACTCCTTACGCCCATCTCCTCAGGATTCATTCCTGGCTCATTCAAATCCATTTTCAACACCTCCCTTGATACTTGGAGATATCATCGGACACCCATTCCTAGCCTCCTACAGGTATAAGATTTATAATTTACGCTTCACTTTGTCCTTAAGCCTGTATATATATCTAAGAGGATACAAAAGATAACTTTAGCTTTTCCTCAGATAACTACCCCAACAGGCGTTCAAGCTATCATCTAGACAGCACTATTATTTACAGCATTACCAGACTCCAAAATAAAATATCCTCCAAATTCTATGTTGAAAACTCGTACATCAAACAAATAGGTACGGTCGCACTACTATTACTCCCCCCGATTAAAAAAAACCTAAAAAAAAAAACAGGGCGGTCAACTGGTGATATTAGCGTACGGCCCCTAGCTAAAATATTGTAAATTAAAACGGTTCCTGGGAGGCCAACACCCATCCTCATCGGAGGTATACGCCCCTCGGCCCAACGCATAGATAGAGCCTCACAAAAACCACCCTTGGTTACCAGTTAGGGCCTCACCAGTCACAGCTAATTTAATCCTTTTTCTTGTTACAGTCACCGAGAGGCCAACGTTCCCGCCACATCATTAAAGTGGTCCCCGTCCAACCGGCCCTCCGCATAGATAGAGCCTCTCTCGTCACTTGGCACTAGTAGGGCCTCACCTTCCTCATAGAATAGATAATGTTTCGCCTGTTGGCATAGCTAGCACCAGTTGACTCAGGCAACTTCGCTCATTATCAAACTCTGTCTCTTACCCTGTTTTCAATTTTTAGTATCTCTCAATCCCATGACCAAGAAGAAGAGCTGGCCATACCTGAAACCCCAACCAGACCTGCAACCCCGGCGGGCCCAAGCACACCCACCGAGAACCTAGAATCAGCCAGCCCATACGCTCTCAGGTCATGGACCATCCCCAAGCTCGCGGCCGAATTACGTCACATGGGGGTCCCGTTTCCAGCTACAGCCCGCAAAGCCGAACTATACAAACTTTTCATATCTACCACGTGTACTCCCCAACCAGGAGTAGTTCTGCATTCGGAAAACTATAACGAGATCAAGGGTCTGATGTCATCCCTCTTGGCCTCAATTACCACGATCAGCGCTAGGCTGGATAAGCTGGAAACCCCGCAGATTACGACAGTCACCTCACCCATACCAACCCTCACTTCGGCTCTCCTCCCCCATGGTAATGACACTCCCTTAAACCCAATACCAAGCACATCCACCCACATCATCACACCTGCACATTTTGTACCCCCGACAATACGCAAAGACATTCTGGAAGGCAAGGACATAAACCTTGTATCTCTGCTGATCGCATCACAAGATGTAGTGGAAAACAAGGCATATTGCTATGGTGATCTTTCGGTTGTGCTAAAAGCCAGAGATCCCAGGCTCAACCGAAAACTCACCATACCTGAATTCGTCCTTGCCTTCGGCCTCTACCGTGACGTAATCTGTTCCACATCCCCGCACCGTAGGGAGGAATTGGACTTGTACATGCACAAGTTGGTGGACCTAGGACATAAGTATGGGGGTTTTTTCTTCTATGATTATCATAAATCCTTTTCGGCCAAGGCGGCAGCATCCCTAACTCAATTTAACACTCATACCAACTGGAGTAACCTGGATACAGAACTTTTCTGCCGCCATTTCGCTGGCCAAAAACCTCCATCCTGTGCCCTGTGCGCCTCCATCTCACACTCCACCAACTTGTGCCCAGTCGATCCTAACCTTCCTACCACTAGTCGTGCTACCTTCGGTTCCTCCACTGCAGAACACAGAGGATTGAAGGACAAGTTGGGTAGACCCATGGTATACCTTGGGAAAGCACAGATCTGCAACAACTTCAATTCAGGAAGTTGTGGTTTTAGCTCATGCAGACTGCTGCACGTCTGCTCAATTTGCTTCAGGGCACATGCAAAAACTATGTGCCCCAATCGTCTGTACCCAAAACAATGACTAACCGAAGTTAGCATTGACAACCTGGCATTTTACCTCCAGACACACCCTTCCCTTCACTTAGTCAACTTCCTCATTCAAGGCTTCACTGAGGGTTTCCACATGGGCCTAGTCACACTTCCCACAGGTATTCTCGAATGTCCCAGCTTACAGTCAGCTATCCTTGACCCAAATCACCACACAGTCACTGCTCAAGACCTAACTGACTAACGGGTTTATCGTGGGCCCCTTCGCTCACCCTCCGTTCACCAGCTGGCGTACTAACCCTATAGGTATTGCCACTGGGAAGTCCAACAATAAAAAAAGACTTATTTATGACTTGTCCGCTCCTCATTCTTTAGCTACCCCCAGCATCAATTCATTAATACCTTCAGAAGAGTTTTCCCTGCAATATACCTCAGTAGACAAGGCCATTCAATCCATTCTTAGGGCAGGAGTGGGAGCCTGGTTGGGAAAAAAACGATATTTCCAACGCTTTTAAGCTCTTACCCATCCACCCATCCCTGTGGCATGTGCACGGCATCAAATGGGAAAACAATTACTACTTTGCCACCCGCCTTACCTTCGGAGCAAAAAGTAGCCCGAAATTATTCGACATATTTGCTGACACACTATGCTGGCTACTCCTCAATATCACTCACTGTCCCGCAGTTCTGCACTACCTGGATGACTTCCTTACGATAGAATCACCTCAATCCTCACCAGTTAGTCTCCAGAAGACCTTGGCCCTATTTACAACTTTGGGGGTTCCACTGTCTCCAACAAAGACAATAGGCCCTACCACAAAACTTACGTTCTTGGGTATTCACCTAGACACCGTTACATTACAGGCTAGTCTACCACGGGAGAAGGTGCGACATATCATTGAGATGGTAGAGTATTTTCTGGTGAAGGACACGTGTACCAGGTCAGACCTACAATCCTTACTGGGCACGTTGAACTTCGCCATGAAAATTATTCCTCAAGGCCGGGCGTTCATCTCAAGATTGTTGTGCCTTCTCCCATTACTCAATACTGACTCCAGCACGTTATCACTAGATGCTCACGCCAAGGCAGATCTACTCATGTGGCTACGGTTCCTAACTCATTGGAATGGGAAAGCCATGTTTATCACTCCTTTATCAGATTCCTCACCTGTCATCTGGACCGATGCAGCAGCTCACACTGGGTTTGCAGCAATCTATCACAATGACTGGTTCAGAGATTCATGGCCAGTAGAAACCCTAGGTTTTCCCTCATTTCCCACTACATCAGCCCTATTCGAGATCTACCCGATTGTGGCAGCCGCCAGAGTATGGGGACACTTATGGCGGTGGAAAGCAGTAAAATGCTTTTCCGACAACAAACCAGCCTCTGACATAATCAACAAGGGTAGATCCTCCTCACTCACCATCATGAAATTGATCCGAAGGCTAACTTGGTTAGCAGCGACACTACAATTTCACATCACATGCATCCACATTCCAGGAAACACCAACACAGCCGCTGACGCATTGTCTCAATTTAACTTACAGGTCTTCTTCAGGGCACACCCCACAGCCAACTCCAGACCGGTCAGCACCCCCCATTCCAAGACCTCATCCTGGACTAGAAAGACTGCTATCTCACAGCAGATATCTAGCCGGAGCAGCCCTATCCACAAACACATCTCGTGCATACAATCAAGCATTTACCATATACACCAAATTCACGACACATCATCAGATAACTGACACTCAGTCTCTAGATTCCATTATTGCATTTATTTATTTCTGCCACCTTAACCTAAAATTATCATTGAACACCATTAAACTATATCTCTCGGGTATACAACATCATATCATCAGTGCCTACCCTAGTTCTAAACCCTTCATGTCTTCCTATCCCGTGAAAAACATATTAAAAGGCATACTAAGATTAGACTCACCCACTACCTCTGCCAGACTTCCGATAGATGGTCCCAAGTTTCGCGCACTCTCCAATATCTTGGACTCCAAACCTTTTGAAACCCATACCAACCTAGTTATCAAGACAGCGACTTACCTAGCTTTCTATGGGTTTTTACGACCAAACGAGTTCACCACCAATAGTGTTTCGTGTCAACATCAACCCCTCAAAATTACAAATCTCCAGAAACACACAGATCACTACATACTCACCTTAGGTCACACTAAAACTAATCAAATAGGCCCACCTACCAAGATCTGCTACTATCCCACCGGCAATCAGTGGTGCCCCGTCGTAGTATTTGACACCTTTTTGGCTACTCTCACAGGTCTCAGTCAAAACGCCCCACTACTCTCATTACAAGGTTTCCCCTTAACAACTGCCAAGTTCATTCAGTACATCAGAACTTTGTTCATCCGACTCGGCCTCAACCCTACAGGGTTTTGTGGTCACTCGTTCAGAATTGGAGCTGCTTCGGCAGCCTCAAGTCACAACGTACCCTCTCACATAATTAAAAGATTAGGCCGATGGAAATCTACGGTCTACGCCACTTACATTCCACAACCAGAAATAGAACTAAGGTCCGCATTCAAAGGTCTTGCTATGTAACCATGCATAATAAAGTGAATTGTTTACTCCAACCTTTTTGCCCTCTTTTATTACAGGCCTACCCCATACGTCGGTTTCGGCACACCACAACCGACTTCCATATTCTGGTATAATCATTACACTTCACGGCTTATGTCCCCGACTACAAATAGTAAGGCGTAGCCTGGAATTGTGGGAGGGGTTACCCGGCTATAAAAGCTCAGGCCCCAGCCAAACCTATACTGGAATCGCTGGGTTCATCCCTCCCACCACAACCCTCTATATCCTTTCTTGGGTGGGCCCTCTTTTATTACAGGCCTACCCCATACGTCGGTTTCGGCACACCACAACCGACTTCCATATTCTGGTATAATCATTACACTTCACGGCTTATGTCCCCGACTACAAATAGTAAGGCGTAGCCTGGAATTGTGGGATGGGTTACCCGGCTATAAAAGCTCAGGCCCCAGCCAAATCTACACTGGAATTGCTGGGTTCATCCCTCCCACCACAACCCTCTATAACCTTTCTTGGGTGGGCCCTCTTTTATTACAGGCCTACCCCATACGTCGGTTTCGGCACACCACAACCGACTTCCATATTCTGGTATAAGCATTATACTTCACGGCTTATGTCCCCGACTACAACTAACTGCTATTCAATCTATAACAGTGAAAAAAGTTTTTTGTTTTTAAATGCAAGCTATTGTGACACCAGTGAGTGAGTGAGTGGTGGCACTGGGCACAGTATCCACTGTGAGCCTGACACAGAAGCTCACAGTGGCTTTTTGGGGTGCTGTCCTTACAGCAGAGATCAGATGAGTCCTTCAGGACTGTAGTGGACACTGTATACCTTAACCTAGCTATGCATTTCCCTATCTAATCAACAGCAGCTACACTTTCCCTCCTCTCACTAAGCGTGCAGCTTGAGAATGAATCTAAAATGGATGCTGTCCAGTAGGTGGGAGGGTCTGCTAGGGAGGGTGTGCTGCTAATTGGCTGGAATGTGTCTGCTGACTGTGAGGTACAGGGTCAAAGTTTACTCAATGATGACGAATAGGGGGCGGATCGAACCGCGCATATGTTCGCCCGCCGTGGCGAATGGGAACACGCTATGTTCGCCAGGAACTATTTGCCAGCGAACCGTTCGGTGCATCACTGTTGGTTAATTGGGTTTACAAGTGATTCGCACTTGTGATTGGTAATCCACACTGAAGTAGAGCAGCCTGCAACAGCTATTGCAGCTCATATTTAGCTATTGCTAGTAAAATAAATTCCCTAGAATTGTACTTGTTCCCAAGAAGGAGGGAGTCCACACTCACCTCACAACACAGTACCAGGTGCAGAACTGGACCTGAGGCTGACAAACCCATACATAAATGGAAAAAGCAAAATGATCCAGACACTCAAGGAACAAAAATGCAGAACTGGACATGATTCTCTTTAATATTTTTATTAGTGATATTGCAGAAGGTCTTGATGGTAAGGTATGTCTTTTTGCTGATGATTTAGGTAAACTAGAAAAATGGTCAGAATTGTGGCAACTGACATTTAATGTGGATAAGTGCAAGATAATGCATCTTGGACGTAAAACACAAGGGCAGAGTACAGAATATTTGATAGAGTTCTAACCTCAACATATGAGGAAAGGGATTTAGGGGTGATTATTTCTGATGACTTAAAGGTAGGCAGACAATGTAATAGAGCAGCAGGAAATGCTAGCAGAATGGTTGGTATAGGGAGAGGTATTAGCAGTAGAAAGAGGGAAGTGCTCATGCCATTGTACAGAACACTGGTGAGACCTCACTTGGAGTATTGTACACAGTACTGGAGACCGTATCTTCAGAAGGATATTGATACCTTACAGAGGGTTCAGAGAAGGGCTCCTAAACTGGTTCATGGATTGCGGGATAAAACCTACCAGGAAAGGTTAAAGGATCTTAACATGTATAGCTTGGAGGAAAGACGAGACAGGGGGGATATGATAGAAACATTTAAATATATAAAGGGAATCAACACAGTAAAGGAGGAGACTATATTTAAAAAGAAGAAAAACTACCACAACAAGAGGACATAGTCTTAAATTAGAGGGACAAAGGTTTAAAAATAATATCAGGAAGTATTACTTTACTGAGAGGGTAGTGGATGCATGGAATAGCCTTTCAGCTGAAGTGGTAGAGGTCAACACAGTAAAGGAGTTTAAGCATGCATGGGATAGGCATAAGGCTATCCTAACTATAAGATAAGACTAGGGACTAATGAAAGTATTTAGAAAATTGGGCAGACTAGATGGGCCGAATGGTTCTTATCTGCCGTCACATTCTATGTTTCTATGTTTCTATGCTGGCAACTATACACATAACTGATAAGAACAATATGATCAAGGAAATTAAGGTACCTTGAGTGCCTAGAATATTGCTTGGCTTGGTACATGCATGCCTGTGTCTGGTACAATGGCTAATAAAGATCAGGTTGACCAGTCATGTAGATGACATGCTGATGCTGGGTAATAGGGTTCATATGCGCCGCTAGACTTATTTTCCTCTCTAGTCGGTCCTCACACTTCACCCCTCTGCCAGTCCTTACATTGGCTCCCTGTATCCTATAGGAGTCAATTCAAAGTGCTAACCCATACATTTAAAGCACTGAACAATTCTAGCCCCTCTTATATCTCTTCACATATCCATAGGTATGCCCCTCCTCGTTCCCTCCGCTCTGCCTGTGACTTTCTCCTATCCGCTGCTCGCACCAATTGCAGGACTTCTCGTGAGCGGCTCCTTTCCTATGGAATAGCGTGCCTACCCCCATCAGACTCTCCTCTAGTCTTCAATCCTTTAAGAAGTGCCTTAAAACCCATCTCTTTAGGAGTTTATGGCTTTCCAGAGTAACCTCTACCTTACACACCTGTCTCTTGCTCTTTCCTTTAGGGCAGTGCTTTACTCTCTCCTCCAGCTCTGCTCCACTCCCACCCTATTTGATTGAGATTTCCTGTCCAAACGTGTACAGACCAAACGTGTCCCAGACCCTCCCACCTCCTGGACAGCTCACTAAGCATGCAGCTTCAAAATGGATGCTGTCCAGGAGGTGGGAGGGTCTGGGAGGGAGGGTCTGCTGCTGATTGGCTGGAATGTGTCTGCTGACTGTGAGGTACAGGGTCAAAGTTTACTCAATGATGAGTCCGTGGCGAACCGTTCGTGGCGAACCGTTTCACTAATAATATCAATAATAATATCAGACATGGAAAAAATATTGCAGCCCGAATCTCTTGAACTTTATGCGACCTGCTAAGTAGCAGGAAGAAAATAAAATGTTGCACTGAAATAAGATAAAACATCGACTGGCAAAAAGCAAATGTTATTTTAATTAAAATGTGTAAATAACATAATATAAAAATTATCAGAAATTAAGGAAATTCAAAATAAATAGGATAGTGAAAGACCACAATTACAAAAAGCAAAGGCTTCTTGTAAT